AAATGAGACTTAGAGTATTTCAACCCACAAACACCTTTCTTACACAAAAATGATATCAAATATTAACTTGGTACCTTAACTTTTAAATTTTTTCTGGAATAAGGAAAAAAACAACCCTCAAATCTTTTCTTAACCATCATTTTAATTTACTTTAAGAAATTGTTTTAATAGACAGAAAATAGACAATTGACTGATAATCCATATAAATAAAGAAATTATAAGCGATATTATCACTGTTTCAAGAACAAAAGAACATGCTAACTTTGTAAGAAAAAATGTTGACTTCCTAATTGCCCTACTTCTTACTGTTAAAAAACAATAATCATAGATAAAGTCCTGCTTTCATTACCTACCATTAAAAGGTCTCCGGAAGATTTTAGCTTCTGTTTCTAGAATTCTCCTCACTGCTTTATGGATTTCTTTTCTGGCTCTGTATGTAATCCCTACAAGAGTATTTTTATATTACTGGAAGTCTGAAAGACAGTTCCCTCACCTCACTTTTTGTAAAAATATGGAAAAAGAAATACACCCACATATATATAGACATTATATAAAGAGAATTATCTGATATATAGAGAACTATGTATAGAAAGAACTATCTTTAAAAAAAAAAAAACAACAAAGTAGTATGCAGCTTAAATTTGGTGATATTTCTTGGTAACAGACTTCAGGAAATACAACTTTACTTGTTATAGAAGGGTGACTTCCAGAAACATTCTATTCTCTTAGAATTCTGTTTTTAGAACTCGAACAATTATGCATCTTACCTTGATATTCACTTGGACTTAGAGAAGCTGTACGTACGTATACATAGGATTTAAGTTTTTCTTGATGTAGAGCTTGAGTATCAATTTGCAGTAACTTATTTAAGGACAGGACTTCATATGTAATGAATACAAAGCCTCTAAAGAAAAAAAAACTGCATATGAATATCAACAAAAAAACTGCATATGAATATCAACAAAAACAATATAATATAAAAATAGCAGTCACATTGGCATAAATCATAGAGATTTTACAAAATACATAAATCTGTAGATTATTTTGATTTAGCAAAGTAGAGAAAGGCCATAAAATACTTGAAATAAGTTATAACTATCAGAAACTGTGCTTCAAGACTATATTCTACCATGTCTAACATCTCCTAATATTATCATATTTTGGAAAGATACACATATTAAAATTTTAACTCTACCCATAAGTTACATATATACTCGTTAGTTAGAACTTACCCTAGTATAAGTGATCCAGTTACCTTTGCAATTTTTCCTTGAAAAAATTAAAACCAAATGTCAAACAAAGTTGGATGCATCACCTCAATATAAACACAACTACCATTTTATTATCAGACAATAAGAATACCAAATATTAAGAACAAGCTTTTAAAAAAAAATTCTATTGTTCTCTAGCTTTCAAGAAATTATTAACCAAAATTTACAACTGGAGAAAACATTACTTGATTCAGATTTCCTGCTCTCCTGAGCAAGATCATAAAATATGTATCCTGCCAGTTCTATTTACTTTGAATATTGCTACCTCTCAATTGCATACACTGCTCAGCTACCAGAATCAACAGCAAACTTTATCTGCCTGTAACACTAGCAGTAATTTGGAACTCGAAATAATTTTAAGGAGTTAACTTTTTCTTACATGTTGCAGCTATTTCTTCAATGTATATATTATTACATACAGGACTATGTATGGTTTTTGAGAAGTCCTGCAGAGTCCATAAGCAAATACATAAAAAAAAAAAAAAATTCAATTGAATCTAACGTATAAAGCAAACAGATAATAAATACATGCTACTTGCAAGAATTTGCCTTTTAAACAAAATTATTCCTTCCAAATTTCGGCTACTTTGTATCTACAAAGTTTATCTGATTATCTGCATATAAGGATCTCTATACAGATAAACTCTTATCATTACCAGGCAGCAGCAAACCCAATGTAACACATATCATCTATCATGAACAATTTCTTTTCCTCAGCATGAATTGCGAGATTTGCCCCACAATCACTGCCACCAGCTTCCATCTTTGTGAGGCCATAAGAATTTTGTATGCAGACAAGAGGCAGCAGCCTCATGTTGAAGACATAACGGGCAGAGAAGTTTGCAAAAGAAAAAAAAAAAAAGCAATGCTTCCTGTAGAGCAGAAATTGATATATCCTATCTTTAATCTCAGAAATAAATTTCAGAATTGCAAGAATTGTCATTATATGCCGAAGACACCAAACGAAACAGAGACTAAGCAGAGCTTGAAGTAAATAAGAAAAAATAAATAATAAAAACAAGCTTTATTCAATGTTTATGAATGTAACTATTTCATGGCTCTAGAGATTACCAGAAAAAAAAAATCAGATACAAGTGGAATTGAAGATAGTTTATGAAGATCACATTTAGTTAGGGAAAGACCCTCATCAAGTGTTTGTATCTGCTCCCAGATAATCTGCTGGTGTCATTTTACAGATCACTATGCAAAGCAAGGTCAGAAGCAGAGAGCAGGGACAAACAGAAGCTTTTAATCACTAAGCATTCAAGGGCTTAAACCTTCAGTATCACTGAATTATGCACAGTGTCATGTCATTCCTTTTTATTAACACCTCAGATCAATACATAATGAACTGTACTTACTGATATCATTCCAGGGTAGGTGCTTTTTTGTGGCTGGACCAGAAGTTCCTATTTTTCTGTAGCAAAATACGCAGTAAGCAGCCACTGACATTCTGCATATTGGGGGAAAAAAAAAGTAATTATAGATTTGAGAATTACAGCAGAAATCCTTAGCATTTTTTTCTTGTCTTTTTACAGCAAAGGTCACAATAAACCATGTTTGTGTCATTTTGCTCCATATAAAGCACTCTGACTAAAGAACTCTATAAATTTCTCAATTTATGGGCTGAATTCTCAATTTAGGGGCTGAATTTAGGTTATAAGAAAAGCTTAAAGCAGTTATTTTGTCAATTATGTTACTGTTGATTTTATTGACTAAGTATGTCCAAATAACTTCTCTGCTTCTAAGTTTCCTTTCCTACTTTTTAGTCACTCTTCCCTAAATACCAGATATGGTCCTATCTCCATCAAGACATTACTCAGTATGACATGGGCTTTAATACAACTCAGTAACCAACCCCGTTTAAAAGTTCATCATTTATTGTGTTGGCAAGTAAGTATTTTATTTTGACTAACAAGACTTAAAGAACTACTACATAAAAACGAACACTTTTTGCATACAGTGCAGAAGTAACATGAAACTCCTTTCTTCTAAGTGAAATTTTAGTGTCTGCATTGGTGCAATCATACTAACTGAAATATTGTGTTAATGTGTTTATAGATATGTAAAAACACACCAGTATCTCTCACATACTAATCAAATTAGATCTCTGGTACCACAATCACAATTAACTCAAAATGATAAAATGTCGCATGTGTAAACCTGATGTTGAAATATGGGAGCCTGATAGTCTCCTTGAATTTAAGGTAATCTCAGCAGACCAAGAAAAGTGTTTATATCAGTTTTATCATCAGTGTCCAACATCTCCGAACAAAGGGACTCTTTTTAACATGTCTTCCCTCTTTTCTTATTAACCAAAAAGTTTTGATTTTTCCCTTTTCTCTTGCTTGTGCTTGGGAGATTTTTGAAAAACATCAGCATCACCCCAGCACTGTCAAAATCACTGCACACTGCTTTTTGACTTCTGTCATTTCAACCTCGTTTATCCATTCACTTCAATTGTGAAACACTTTTAAGATTTTGATCATCAGTCCTCTAGAGACAACTCTCCCACTTCCAAACTCCCTGTCTCATGACAGTTCCTTTACTACCTTGGTTCACAGAATCACAGTAATCACATTTACTCTTCTCTCTAACCACAATCTGAAACAAACATGTGGTTCAGTGACAGCAGGTGCCACAACTACTAAAATTTAAAACATGCACCTGCAAACACAGCACGCTCCTCTGTTGCCAGGAGCTCCTGTTCAGGTCCGAGGGCAAGCATCAAATCATCAAATGTTAAGGGTCTGGAATGGACCTTAAAGATCACCTAATCCCAACACCCCTGCCATGGGCAGGGGAACCTCTCACCAGACCTTGTTTCTCACAGCCTTTTCCAGCTTGGCCTTGAACACTTCCAAGGCTGGGGCATCCACAACCTTCCTGAGAAATCTGTTCCAGTGTCTCACCAGCTGCACAGTTAAGAATTCCTTTAAAAATATCTAATCTAAATGTCTCCCCTTTTCGCTTGCACCCATTATCCTTGTCCTATACTACAGCTCCCAATTAAGTGTGCCTCTCTGACTTCCCTGCAGGACCCTCAGACACTGGAATGTGGCCGTGGGGTCTCCACACAACCTCCTCTTCTCTAGGCTGACCTGCCCCAACTTCCTCGCTCTGCTGTCACAGGGGAAGTGCTCCAGCCCTCTTATCAACCTCGTGGCCCTTCTCTGGACTTGCCCTAGCAGCTCCACGTCCTTCAGATGCTGGGGAGCCCACCGGAGCGGAGGAGGGGCAGAATCGCCGCCCAGGGCCCGCTTCAGCCGGCTGCTCTGGGGCTGGAGCGCGCACTCACGCTGGGCTTTTCATGCTTAGGCACATACAAATATAATGCAGAAGGACCCATTTCGCACCGTTCCACAGCTGGCCCAGGCAGCACCGGGGTGCGGTCCCCACCTACCCGCCCCGCGACTGCGTATCTGGGGCGTATTAAAAAAAAAAGATAAAAACACTACCGCCAACACAACTTTAAGCAATGCAACACATAAACGGGCAAGGAGGCAGGCTGTGGCGTGGCTCCGTGCCTCTTTCCAACAGGGAGGAAGAGCGCACCCCCAGCCCGCCCGCCCGCCCAGCAGCGCCGCCGCCACCCCCGCGCCCCCCGCCCGAGCCGCCGCTCCCACCTTCCGCCTGCGCCGCGCGGCCCCTCGCGCCGCGTGACGCCAGCGCGCCGCCGCCCGCCCCGGCCAATCCGCAGGCGCTGCCGGGGCCGAGCTGCGCGTGCGCGGGCGGGGCACTTCCGCCGGCGGGGAAGCGGCGCGGGACGGGGCCGGAGGTGAGGGACCGGGATCGGGTTGTGTGCGGCCGAGGTGAGGGACCGCACCGGAGCCCCTGCAAACCCCTCTGAGCAAGGAGGAGGTGAAGGGCAGGACGGGCCAGCAACTCCGCTGGGGAGTAGAGTTGTCGTAAAGAGTCTTAAAACCGAGGCGTTGTTTGTTTGATTTGCGTGTTGGGGGGTGTGTGGGGCGTGTTGTGCTTTCAGATTTCCCGTGATCGCCAGTGCTGTTATAGATGGTAATATAATACTGACTTTCGCATCTAAAGATTAGATTTTTGCATCGCAAGTACAATTTATACTTACTTTTAACTGCTTTTGTATAATACGACCTGTCAGTTTATGTATGCACTGTATAGTTTACATGAATGTGAATAGTGTGTAAAATATATCGTAAGCTTTAGCAAACTGTTAAAATAGAGACTAAAATGCTTCAATGTAGCTGACTCAGAGAATGATGTAAAACAATTATTTTGCTTCTTACATCTTCGGACTGGCCTCTCCAAGTGGTAACAGTGACAGAAAACAGAACATAAGCATCCAGGAAGGATTTCTTTATTCTTTGCTATCAGGAAGTGTGAAACAAGATAGAGCTACAGGAAGAAATAAAATATATGGATCTGATTTACAGAATGTCCTGCAGACAAGTCAGAGGTTAAAACCAAACAAGAGAAACGTCAAAATCTCAAAAGAATGTTTGAATAATGTATAAACTGATGACTACGCATGTAACCCCAGCAATGTAACTATAGAAAGAACAGTTTTTAGGCTATCTCCATGCTCTGGAAATTTGTCTTTCTTTTATCCTTTATGAAATTTCTAAAAATTCTAAAGAGTGAACTCTGTTTTTCACAGTGTGATCCAAAGCAGGGGTTGCTCTTGCTGACTCTTCAGCGTTCATAAGAGAGCGGAGAAGATGGTGAATGTTCTGAAAGGTGTTCTGGTTGAGTGGTGAGTAGCAGCATTTACTGCCTCTCCTTCTGTCAAAGACTGTGTTTCTTTAGACCTGGAACTAATCTAAGTAACTGAAGAGGCAAAAGAAGGTATTGTGGAGAAGGGTGGTGCTGAACAAGCAGAGAAAAGTGCGGCCTTAGGGGGAAGAAAAAGAAGGCAATTGTGGATAGTCTTAATGCCAAAGGCCCATTTTTCTGTTCAAGAGATTGTTTTCCACTTATGCCTAACCTCCTTAAAGAAAAGAAAACTGCATATGAATATGGGGTAAAAAATATGATGGTGAAAAAGTTAGAAATCACATTGTAGTAAAAATCCAGGTTATTATTTTAATTTAGCAAAGTAGAGAAAAGGATGTAAAATACTTAAAATTAGCATTTACTATGAAAAATTATGCTTCAAAGCTATATTCTACCATGTCTAATAGTCCTCTAATATTGTCACATTTTTTTGAAAGGTTTACAAGTTAAAATTTTAGCTGTATATGTAAGTTATCTATATGCTTGTCAGGTACAACTTAACCCTAGTATGAGCGATCCAGTTACCTTGGCAATTTTTCCTTGCAAATATTAGATGTTCCCTCTTGTTCTTTGTATTGCTTGCAAGCAGAGTTTCTTGCTGTTGTTGTTTGTGAACCAAACAAACCAGTTTCTTTACTGGATTCTTGAGGAAGACAAGGTAATCTTTCATTTCTTCATTCCTGTTTTTGTTTTTATTTAATCAGCTCTAGACTGAAATTTGGTGCAGGGCTAACATGTGGTTCTGTTTGTAGATCATATTTGAAAGGAATGTGCTTGGAGTTGATAAATGTCAGCTTTTTGGTGTAGGTGCAATGTACCTGTTTTCATATAATCTCATCTTTGGACTGGGACTCAGGCCTCTGGCTACCTCCAAAATTAAAGGAAGCATCACTCAAGATTTTGGGGTCGTATAGCATTACATTGATGTGTAGATAGCTGCTGTACACTTAATCTCCTAATATGTTGCAATCATAACTGCACAAAAGCAGTTCCATACTTCCAAAATGTTTTGTTCTAAACAACTTACGTTTTATTTTAGAAGGTTGATATCATGATCAGTTGGAGTGTGAGAAATATACAATTCTTATATGAGTACTCTTTGTCTGTGCTATACTACTTTGAGTGAGATCTGTGTTCTCCTGTCTTCTGGTTATCCCTATGCTTTAAGGAAACATTTTTATGAGGCTATTGCTGAAATCAGAAATCTAAGTTCAGTCTTGCTTTATTAAGGGTTGGACTTTTTGAGTTTTAGTTTTTGATTTGGGTTGTTTTTGAATTTGCTTTAGCAGCAGCAAATGGAACCTTCTCTGCTAATCAAGCAGCTGGTTTCTACTCATTAGACTTTATTACCATTTTATTTTTGTCTCTATAGTAACCAAAACTACTTGGGAAAGAATCAACTTTTACTAAAGTTATACAAAGTGTATTTAAGTTATGAAAATTAATTTTAGTTTTCCTAAACCCTTTAGAAATGTCTTTTGAATGGTGTTTCTTTTGTTTTCAACTATAACTGTGAGGTAGAATCTGATGGTGTGTTTGTCTCCACAGTGACCCGGCAATGAAGCAGTTTCTGCTCTACTTGGATGAGTCAAATGCTTTGGGAAAGGAAGTTCATCATACAAGACCTGGATGAAACTCATGTCTTTGTGTTTAGCTGAGTTTGGTCAACTTCCTCCAGGAGAGATGGGCGAGTAATGGACCAGAACTCGTTTCCTATTACTCAGAAGTGAGACAAACCAGAGAAAATGAGATTACTGCAAGTTTTGGAATAGTGAATTTCAATAGTTTGGATGTTACTGTTTTAATAATAACACTGTGGCATGTAAGTCCAATCATAGAAGTGGCTACTATAGAAAATGCATCATTTCATAGACAAAATAGTCTGGAATTGGATTTTGTTTCTCATTTTGAAAGAATGTGGTATCTGTATTAAAAGACTTAAAATGATACACTTGAGGAGTTCCCTTGAGAATTTTTGATGCATGCTCTCTGGTTTTCCTTTAGGTTTTTATCTTACAAGATATGACCCAAAACATAGAGTAGTGTTTCTGTATTGGAATGCTGTATGAGGTCCTCTGTAGATGTGTTGTGTTCCTGTGTGTGATTGAATCTGATTATAGTGTGACTGATGGAAAGTAAAGAATGTCAGTTTAAGTATGATCTGTGCTTGATGGAACATCTCTAAATTGGAGGCATGGTCAGATACTGCTCTTAACTGGATGAGTTTTATACTGCAGGATGAGATTTGGTCTGACTGTTTTGTTGTGTTGTTTGAGGTTGGGAGTGGGGGTTTTTTGTTAAAACACATTACAAATGCCCCATACTACTTGCCTACTTTTACCAAGGCTGTGCTTTCCGAGTTGTTCTGAGTTTGGGGAGAGATAGTGGGAGTTTGGGGCGGAAGGAGGGATTGGGACAACAAAATCTATTGCCCTAGACCATTATATACTAAAGGGGTGACAGAAATGGGAGACCAGTGCTATGGGTATAATTGCTTGTATTTTTTCACTGAAGCCAATAGTCACAATAAGTTATGTGATCAGACTCCCAAGCTCTGCCTAGCAATCAAGAAAGCTGGGTTTGGATTTTTGGTTATGGGGGGATTTTTTCAGCTTAGTTCTTTTTCCCATATTGCCTTTTGCTGTAAAGAAAAAAGCTTTGTATTGTCATGGTTTGGTTGTTTGGGTTTTTTTACTCTGTATTTGTAACTTTAGCTCAGACACTGGCTTAGTTTTAGACCTACTCATGTACATCAGATAGATGCACAATTTTGTCTTTGAGAAAAAGAGAAAGGCTTTTTATAAGGAACAGTTTTCTTTACTGACATTCCCACTACTGCTTGTTTTCTCTTGTCCAGTAGATAGCAGATTAATTGGTAGGTTTGTCCTTGTTTTTTGTTCAGATTGTTTTTTGGTTTGTGTTTTTTTCCTCAGAAGGAGGAATCTTCAGGAGAAAATTTCACTAGATGTTTTTAATCAAAAAGCTGTCCAGAGAAAGTTCTGTAGAATTGTGTATATTCAGGTTCATGTGGATGAGCAAATAGACCTGTAAAATTTAACTTCATGACATTTCTGGTACCTTCCCTTTTCTCTGACTGTATAGAACAATGAATTTGGGTCTAAATTGTTTAATCTCTCTCTTTCACAAGTGGGTGCTTCCCTGCTCATGTAGATTAAGAACCAGCCATGTGTCTTTACCTGAAATAAGAAGTTTAAATCTTATTTATAAATGGTTTATGGTTTTTTATCTCTTTCTTGAGATTGATCTCAAGAGACTGATCAAACACTGACCTCATAATTTATTTTGTGGAAGGTTGTTGGGGGGTCATTTAATGGAGAAATAATCAGTAGTTTTAACATGGCATTATAGCCTAGTACAATTTATTTGGAAGTGTGTGTTTCCTTTCTTTGGAATCCTAGTTTATTTTCCATCCAGATTCTGCTGAAAGGTAAATCATCCATCACTCTTTTCAAATTACAGCATTTGAAAAGTCATGTTTGGAATTCCACATGTAAAGCTTCTCTGTATATCGCATGCCTAGTGCTCCGTTTCTATTGTGACTTTCCTTTTTAGTCTATAATAAACTTCTTGCAGTTCTTGTCTTTTTCTCCTGGTTAACTGTACAGCTTTGCTGCTTTCTTCCCTGTATTTTAGCTTAAATTTACAATAAAATTATGTAATACAGAGGGTTAGAAGTAACCAAGCAGTATAAACTAAACAGTTGGGCATGCATCTTATATTCTCTGCTCACAATTTGTGTTTTTTGAGCAAACAAGTTAATGGACTTCTAAACCTGTCAATACTTTTGTTTCTTCCTGTACCCTAACAAGGCATAACCAATTCTGTGCTGGAAGAATAAACAAAACATATAAAGATGTAAGTTGGTATCATCATATGTAGTCTAAGGAACTGAGTTCACTGTAGTTCCTAGAGAAAAAATGGATCTTGAATCAGGTAGTATGGTGAAGGAAATCCAATGAGGAAACTTTTAGAAATTGAGTAAGTGTATGATTTTAAAAAGCAAACAAACAACCCAAGCAAGACTTTCTGCGATTTGAATAAACTTGGACCTCTGAAAGGTTTTGATTGTTTTTAAATGCATGTAATCCTAGAATTTACATGTTTTAACAACAACAAAAATACTTGCCCAGATGGGAGAAAAGTAGATACTAGTATTAAAAATACCTATAAATTTTGAGATAATCAGCATTTACACTTACAGATTTTAAACGTTTGTGCTGATTTTCATTCAGGTGTGAAATATTGGTGAGTACAGCTTGGAATGAAACACTGCATTAAATATACATTTTTTAAAGGCTGGAACACTTGAGAATAAAAGCTGTAGGAGATCTTTTAGAATATATCCATGCTTTGATAATGGAGTTGATAGGGTGAGAAAATCAGCTTTAACTGAATTTAGAATATTAATGTATGTTAATTTAATGTTTGTATCCATAATTATTATGTTCACTTTTTTGCTAGTAGCTATCAAAGAACTACAGTGCTCTCAGGTCCTGCTTGAGCAGCAAAAATAGAGCTTGTATGACAAACTTGTTGCTGCTTGTAAAAGCACCGAATTTTCTCTTGAAGGGCTTTCACTGCTCACTTTTTGCTTTCAGTTTGAGTTGAAAGTATTTTGGGTACTGGAAGAAGAGCGTGGTAGGACAGTTATATAAAAGACACTTACTTCAACTTCATTTGTTACTTGCTACTTATTTATACTTTAGATCTAAATAAAATTACAAGTTCACTTTTTGGCATTTTGTGATGTAAACAGTTGTTGTGTAGTTATTGTAACTTGAACATGCTCATAAATTCTTCTTTTGTTAACATATGCAGAAGCTAAAGAGTTGTATTTGATAGAAGGATGAGACAGATCTCTAAAGCAAGGTAAGAGAATTTGAATAACTTAACATGTTATTGAGAGGGATGAAACTGAAAATGTGGGAAGAGAGGGATGGAAACTGAAAATGCTTCCTAGTGAAATAAAGCAATAACATTTCATTTTTATTGAAGATTATACTATTGGACATTTGGGTTTTTTGTTTGAAACGTCAGATTTTTTAAAATTGTTTATTAATGGCCTTCAAAGAAAGTTGTGTAAAAACAAGTAAGTCAAAATGCTGTCACATATTTAGATAGTGTTATAAATTGTGGGATAAGCTAATTCTGGAGAGGGGGTTGTTTTAGCAGGGGGGTTGGCAGCACAATGAGTACTACCCTGGTTGGTCAGTATAGATAGGGGTTGTAATGACTTGGTTCGCTTGTGATCAATGCCTGAGTCCCTCTCCCTTCTCTCTGGTACAACAGGTAGCCCAGGAAGAATAACTGTCCAGTACAGTAAGGGAGGAACCAACGATCACTAGGGAGAATGGATGTGTCCTTTAGAAAGTAAATAGAGATTGCTGTTGAAAAAAAATAGAGAATGCTTTAGGAAATTCTACCATTTTACCTGAGATAACTAGACTGAGTGGATTTGATTCTGTAGCTAAACTGCCTGTGTTTCACAAAAAAAAGTAGGCAACTGAATCCATTTGAATAATAGTGGTTTTGTTTATTTGTTTCATGTACTTACAATGATAATTGGGGGACTTGGGGTTATTTTTGGTTTTTGTTACTTAGTGGTGAAAGCTAAATGGCTGTCTGATGTGCTGTGCTGTACTAAACCTCTTCCAAGTGCTGTTATACATTAAGAAATCCTGTTTTACAGTCTTTCCAGGTTTATAGGGTGTATTCAAAAGCATATCCTTTGATTCCCTCTTTTTTTTCCTAATGTGCCATAACAACAGATTTTACAGTTTTATCTCACTCAGCTCTGCAGGGCCACCTCATGTGTGTGAGAACAATCCAGAGAACATGTATTTTATGCATTAACAGGATTGTTTACTGTGAGCTGAAGTAAACAAGATTGTTTACTGTAAATTAAAGATAATTGTATTTCATGGTGTCATAAAAACTACTTATATTTAACCTTTCTTAGTTGGCTTCTTCACCATAAAAGGTCAGTCGGCCCCTAGGCTGACATTACAAAAGTAGGGCGCTAAAAATCATCTATAAATGTGTATACATACATATATATATATCTATATCACCATATGTATCTTAACCATTCCTTAATCATATAAACCAACACAGTTTGAGAGGTATATTTTGCTCTTAAAATCAGACAGTAGGCCATTGAAGAAAACAGTATGCTTTCATAATAGATTTTTTTTGCAGCTCCAAATTTCATATAAATTTCCACTATGAGTCCTTGATTATACCACAAAAGATCCCGCTGAAGCTTGTGGGGTTACTGTGAAATGAGTGCATTACTCAGTGTGTTAGAATTGTGTGTTTGTTCTGTAATTTAGACTGTGGCAAGGCCTACATTTGCTATACAAAATCAAGGATTCAAAATAAGTTGAAGTTCACAGTGATGGAAGAGCAATTTCTTCCTAAACTAAGTCATTATCTTTGGGTTTATGACCTAGCAGCTAATCAGAAATGGAAACAATAGGATATATGATATAAATTTGATATAGACCTGGGCTTTTGTTTGGGTTTTTTGTTTGTTTGTTTTTTGTGGTTTTTTTTTCTGAAATGTGGAATATAAGTAATATTTTATCCATCTTTGTTTCATATAAAAGATTTTCAGGACCAAAGAGCTGGTAGTTTGAAAGCAGACCAGTAAGGGGAGCTCTTGCCAATATTTTAAGCTAATTTTAAAAAATTGTTGCAGCCTGGGCAGTGGTGGGTCAGAGACTTACCATGCTTTGGACCATCAGCTATGCTTTCAGCGAGAGATGAACTTTCAGCTTCAAAGTGTCCTGCTAAAAAGATATTCACTGTTGAAGATTTTGAAATATTTTTAGTTCAGAAATTTCTTATCTGTTTAGGTATCCAGTGTTTCCTCCCTAAGTGTAGGTACACAGCTGTGTTTCATTAAAATGATGAGTCTGAAATGTGG